GCCGAGGGAGCAAATCACTGAGTGAAACAGCCAGGATCGAAATGCACCAATCAGAGCTGTTGTAAAAACAACTAATGACAGCAGAGCATCATGCTTTATAACATCACGCATGACCAGTCGACCTCATCGCCTGAAGAAGACTAGCAGTATGCAGTCTAAACGTCGTGATCTACATCACACGTGACTACGTCGTGAGACAAACGGAAAAACTTAGCTTTTATTGTTATTCACCACGATGAATAACCACAACCTTTTTTGCGAGATTATGTACCACTTCAAATAGAAAACAGAAAGTGAGTTCGCATCTGCTAAAATCTTTGATATTTACACACATAATGGTGACGTGAAATGCACCTTTAAAAAATGCACAAATCCGAACCGAAATTAAAAATTTTCATGCCGAAAAAAGCTTCGAAATAGCCTTCGGAGAGGTGATGATCGTAAATAGATACCGGGTAGCTTGTGAATTCGAAAAAGTTTTTCTTCCAAGAAAACTTATAACTCTGTGCCATACCTGTGAAGAGACGAAAAAACATCCTTCTCCATCTCATCATCAAGCTTAAAATTCACTATTTTTCTTACGCTGTATACGCACATAATGCCTTTGACATTGCAAATCCTCGTGGTATGCAGGACACGTATTAGATATGAAACTCGTAATGGCTTCACTGACGGCATAGAGTCTCTTTGGTAGAGCATTGGAGTGTGGAACCTGAAGTCCTGACGTTCTGACGATTCCTCATGGGGACTCAGAATTTTTCCTTTGTCTCACGCTCATGCTAAGACGAAAAAACGTCTTTACCATTATTCCTTACACAGTTCTGTAATAAGATGGTCAATGCGCAGCTCGAGAAATTGTAAGTGTCACAAGTCAACTTTACATGTCGAACCGTTTTTTCTGGTGATATACCAAAAGTCATAAAATGAACTAGTAAAGCAATGATCGATTACTAAAAGCCCAATGAGATCAGGAGTGGCACCGCTGAAACTTTTCTCAGGAAGTGCTTGCGACAGGAGGTTTGTTCTAGGTAACTATATTCTCGAGAAAGAGAAGAAGGTGGGAACATCTTTTCTGAGACAAGACGTTAATGTGAAAAAACCGAGCCAAACAAAAAACTAAGGATGAAAGGAAGAGTTGCAGCCCCACTCTTGAGAGAAGCTGAAGAACTCATTCTTGTGAAAATATCTGGCGGCGAAGTTTAGAAAATATGTGAAACACCCAGCTCTCAGTAAAGGTCATGTTTATTAATTTTCCCTTTACTTAATACTAAAACAGGAGCATTAAGAATAAAAGAGAAATTTGTAGCTCCAATCTTGAGAAAAGCTGAAGAACCTATCAGACCTCATTATAATTAATTTTCCCTTTACTCATTATAATTAATTTTCCCTTTACTAAACACTAAAACAGGTGTAATAAAAAAGTTACAGCATATTATGATAGCCTTTACAGATCAGTTAAGGGCCATCTAGTGTCCTTGCTAAAGAGAAGATCGTAGACGGCATGAAACTTGCCTTATGTACATTGTGTTCAACAAGAAATGTTCTCTTTCGCCTCAAGTTGCTTTAAAATGCACATACAATGTTATGCTTGCATTAAATTTTCTTTGGAAATCAGGTTGTCGTAATAAAAAATGCAGGCTGAAAAAATAAACACACGTGGCATTATCAAATTGCGATCTTTGCACCTCGTCGCGTGATATATCTGTTTTTATCAGTGACGGAGTACCTTATATCAATGACGGAGTACCCTAGATCAGTAACGGAGTACCTTAGATCAGTGACGGAGTACCTTATAATGATCAGTGACGGAGTACCTTATAATGATCAGTGACGGAGTACCATTTATCAGTGACGTAGTACCTTATATCAGTGACAGAGTACCTTATAATAATCAGTGACGGAGTTCCTTAGATCAGCCATGTAAAGTGCATCCTGTTTATAAAACAGCCATTCCCCAACGAGCTGATTCAGACTACTTAAAAACTTGTTAAAAAATAGCATGAATTGTTTTACATGCGCAACGAATGAAAAAGTTTTTATCTTTATTTTATTGACGAAGTTGAACAAAGGAATTAAAGCAACTACCGATAATCATTCATCACAAACTTAAGTACATTTTGAAGGGTAACTCGTCAGGACAAGCACAAATTGATGGCCGACATTCATACAAGAGGCATGTACATCGAATAAATTTAACTATTTGTCGCTTTATTTGAAACTGTGTTATCTGGATCTGTGATATTTGGGTCAGTTTCCCCTCTTTTTCCTCTTTTTCCATTCACAATTAATAAAAAATTTGCTTCATCAAAAATAACAAGTTCAAGTTGATATAAAAGTCAACAACAAACAGAGATGGAAACAGCGCAGCATAAGTGTCAAGTTTCATACCTATGGCCCTTTATAGACTTCTCTGGGCTTTCGAGTGTTCTCCCAAAATCGAAGTCGGTTATTACACCGGTAAAGGTGAGTTCGTACTATCTTATTTCATAAGATTACATCCGCAAAGACTTCTGCTTCAGAACCACGTGAAGTGGTGATCAATTTTTTTCATATTTTTAATCGAGTGACAAGAATTTTGAAATTCTCTGAAAGAGACCCCTATTGTCAGAACGTTTTCTTTTTTTCGTTAATTATTTTCAATTTGGATTCTTTTTCAAGCGACATTTCGAAGAAGTCGTCATTTTACGCTCGGTGTTCTTTGGGAAACCTGAGAGCAATTGTACGAAGCAATAGGCCTTGTAGATAAAATTTCGGCTGATTTTTCCAGTTTTGCTAAAACTATGGTCCTTGTTTATGATTGACTTCAACGAAAGCTTTCGTTACAAATTATTCACAACTATAACGATTTGAGTTTACCAAATTCCATTTGAGTTTACCAAAACAGTTAATCTCTGACGCCATGATATTTTTTTTTTGTTTTCAAATCAATTAACTAACAGGGAAGTCCTTTTGTCACATTTGCTTTAAGGCTTGGAATAGTTTTTCCTTGCTTCCAAGTCAGTCATTTCTGGTGATACTATTGGACTGACTAGAAACCTTCTCCGCTTGATAAAAATCAATCCGAAAGGAATAACAAATGCAAACATCAGAACCCCGCCGGTCATGTAAAACGAATTTACATAGTTCCCATCTTGGTCTGCCATCAAACCTGTGGAAAATATCACAAGAGAAATCAAGATAACGCATTTCAAAACAAAGCTCTAAAAGGATAAGCCCCTTTCATAACGATGTGACGGAATTTTTTTGTCATGTAGGGACTATCTTACCAGCAATAGGTCCACCGGTAGCCACCGAAAATGAACAAAGCACGCTAAGGATACAAAATGAAGCTGTGGCTCTCTCTTTATCCACACAGCTAAGCAAGATGTAACATTGCGTGGTTATGAAAATTCCATCACTTATTCCAAAAGCACAGCTAAATACAACCAAGGCCCAGTATTTAGTTGCCATAGGTAACAGGAGCACACATACACCGCCGATAAACAGCGATGACTGATAAACAAATACTGGGTTGATCTTTGGATTGTTACACAGTTTTCCGGACAGAATCCGCGCAAGAGATGAGGTAAGGCCGTTGAAGATGAACAGTCGAGAGGCACTTTGCGCCGTGATACCAAGATCATCACAGTACTTGACCTGGTTAAAGTTAAGATATGTGCCTTGTTATAAAATCGCTAATGAAGGACACAGCATGAAAATGAGGCAACACAGGAGTTAGTCATATCATCACATCTAAATTTGAAGATCTTTGAAGCAACTGCATGGTGGCATTATTTGTTGTTCAATTTTGAGGATACGGCTGCCATAATAATGGGGTAATTTTGGTACAAAAAC